TACAACAGAACACACGCAGACTAACAGAAAGGGCAACCTAGGTAGAACTATCAAGTACGGAAATACAAAGGAGGAGGAACAGTTGTAAGCAAACCCTAGTGATTGGAACATGGAATGTGAGAGCCATGAATGTAGGAAAATTAGAAATTGTTAAGAAAGAAATGGAACGCATAAACATAAACACTGACAAACTTATTCTAGAAACATGAAATAAAACTCCAGTAAGAAGTCTCCAGATAATTTGTGAATATATATAAAATGGCTAACATCTATCTAGTAGTCCCTACAAGCCAGCCTCACACTACATGCTTAAGTGCTCTGCCTTCTACTAAGTGCCTAAGTGCTTCTACCTTTACATTATTATTATTATTCATTTCATCCTTCCACCAAATCTCTGAGGGAGGTACCATTATTATCTCCATTTTTCAGGTGAAGAATGAGGCACTGAGTGGTTAATTGACTTTCCAAAGGTCACACAGGTACTAAGTGGTGGAGCTGAGAATCAGAGCCAGACTTCCTGGCTCCGGGTTTTAAAGTGCTCAGCACTGTACCGTAGAAGCCTCTAAAACACGTGCTACCCACACAGCAGCTCTTCATTCATCCTTGGCTAACAGCATATGAAAATGAGCTAGACCACCAAACAAGGCAAAGTGGAACCCAAACCTTCAGATGTCTCTGGTGCCTGTTTGCCTGCTCTGGGGAGAGGCTCATCCACGAAGGCCATCAGCCCTCGGAAGCAGGGGTGAGAGGCTGCCCCAGGATAAAGGGAAAGCCTTCTGCTATCCATGGGGCATTAGAAACTTTGTTAGGCACATGCTACGGGAACACAGTCTGGGCAAGACAGCCCTCTGGCAGCTTCTGTTGTATGAGGCACACAAGCAAGCTGGCATAATTTTGAAGAGGTGAGACAGGAGTGTCAAGAAAGGACTGAGGAACTCAGGAGATTACAGAATGCTTCATGTGTGAGGTATGGCCTATGCCCTGAAGGAAGACCTAGTTATTCAGAAAGACATCAAAGAAAGATGTTAACAACGTATCTCTTGAAAATGTCTGTGAAGTAGAACACATATCCCCTTTACTTTACAACTAAGGTTTCCTCTCTTGAGAGTAGGGTTTACCCTGCTATCTCCAAAATACATATCTAGAGACACCTGGTTCCCTCAGAATACGGCACCCGCTTGAGGTGGCTTCTCTTCGCCAATATCTGGTACATTTTTCAGTAAGGCAGAAAGTGCATGTTCAACTAATAAGCCTGTGCTTTTGTGTGTCTTCCTTTTGGACGAGGATGGATTCTTTGGCCTAGAACTGGCAAGCAGGCATTTGCTAGTGGGCTAGAACACAGATGCCTGAGTTTTCAATAACCAACAAGAGCAACGACTGCTCTGTAAGTCCTTGTCACAGATGAGGACACCATGCTAACGGATGGGTGTGTCCAAGCAACAAAGATCTGACACTCTCTCCTCTACCCTCTGGGACTCAAACATCAGACTCCTATGAGACGGTGGCTATTTTAACACCAATGATGCCATTTTACACAGATGCCTTAAGGATACAATGTGAGCGGTTCCTTTGTGAACATCACACAGAGCCAGCAGAGTCATGCAGAGGGCTGAGAGGTCTACTCACTCTTTGGTCAGAAGCGGACAGGACTTGAGTAGAAAGCGGGAGAGTGCTGAGTCCTGAAAGTAGAGCTCAGGAGGGGCTGTGGGGCTCTTCAGATTCAAACACCGGACGATCACGTACAGTACAGCGGCTACCGCAGCCAGCTTCACACCGTCAAAAACGGCCGGGAGCTCGGGGGTCTCCAGCATGGCATTCATCTTGATTCTGGAAACAGAAACAGTTCTGGGGTTAAAACACAGCTAGGAGTTGGAGAGCTGGCTACACTGAGTGCCTGTGATGACCTGTCTGTGCAGATGGGTCCCCATCAGCACTCAGAGTGTGAAACAATATGTCTATGCAGATATGTCCCCAGGGTCCACCCAGGTCAGCACTCACCACGACAGCTGCCAGTGGGCTGGCAACGCCCTACATCACAAACACAGAGACCCAGGCACTGATAAAAGTGGGCAGGGTGTGGCTTTCTTTTCTTTATCTAATGAAGGCTTCTAAGATAATTAAACTTTTCACCGCTGATAACAATGCATTATTGAGAAAGAGCGAGCACTCAGGGCAGCCTTTCTATCTCCATAGACTTGGTCTGCAGCTGGGGTGCCAGGTGTAAGGGCTGCGTTTACAGCCTTGGACAGAGACATGGGATGGGACTGCTGTCCACACCAGGTGTGGCTGGAGGACCTGCAGAACACATCCCTATTTTCCTAGCAAACTGTTGTGGATTAAAAACACATATTTGTAAAGCCCAAACAATGTCTAAGATTATAGTCCTGCTGGGCTATGGGCCATTTTTGTTATGTTAATGTGGCAGGGTTGGGTGTTTCTGGACTGTTTTTGAGGCAGTCTCTTCCCGACAGAAAAGAGATTAAATAAGCAAGTGAGGAAACAGAGATGGGGAAAGCTAAACCACATGAAGACTGCTAGGGAGTAAGATGCCCTGATGAGACCAGCACCTTGCTCCAAACCAGCACAGAAAGCAAGCTTCACTCTGCAGCTCTCGACCAAGAGCTCCAACTTCTAGCTTCCTAAATATGGTTAATGGTTGACACAGTAACTCCAGCATGGACTTAAAGCACAGCAATCTGAGGATGGTGCGGGATCAGGCAAGCGGTTCAATCTGTTGTACAGTGGGGTCACTATAAATTGGAGTTGACGTGATGACACAACAATAATAAACTGTCAGCAAATGTTTCCCTGCTTGTTAAAGCCACCTTCTGCGGTACTTCTGTGATGTTGTTGTTGTGTACCATGGAGTCTGAACCGACCCATAGCTGACCCAATGGCAGGTTTTCAAGGCAATTAATTGCTCAGGAGGAGAGTGTCCAACCTTCTCCTGGGGAGCAGCTGGTGGATTCAAACCATGTGCCTTCGGGATTGCAGCACAGTTTCTTGCCACTAGGCCACCAGAGCTCCCTATTTCTGTTACTGCAGAAACACTCCCACTGCTCTTTAGTTGGTTCCAATTCATAGCCACCCTCTATCCTCTTTTCAAAGTTGTAAATAAACCTTTATATAAGAAGAATGCCCATCTTTCTCCTTCAGAACAGCTGGTGGATTTGAACTGCTGACCTTTTGGTTAGCAGCCTGATATGTTACACACTATACCACTGAGTCTCCTTAATGAGGACAGAGGTTGAGATAAAACAACTTTTGCTTGACTTCTCAGCTACCTGCCAACAGAAGCAGACCTGGCCAGTGGGCTATTTCAGACCAGCCCACAGTGGTCCTGGCACCTGGAGGTCCCAGGGAATGTGACATGGAGCCCCTGCATCCCCACCTTCACAGCAGAGGGAAACTGATTATACCTAGTAATCTAAAATGAGATCAAAATTTGACCATCAGACTAAAATGAAAAACTAGAGACGAGAAAAATGCATAGGCATATCTTTTTCCAAACACTTTCAATTGTTCATCTTTTGAAATATCTTTACCTTATCCACACACATACTCACTCACTCCAACCATATACAACTAAACATCAATAACAAGAGTAATAAAAATCCAGCATTTCCCTTGCTGTTCAGCAGGAAAACAGAACATCAGATGTTACCTTAAAAATCAGGGAAACCACAAGCTAACAAAAAGAATATGGTAACTAGCACAGCCAAGGTAGCTATGGTAACAGCTTCCCCTGGAACAGTTTCAAGTAGCCTCTGCTAAAGCAAGCATCATGGAGCTCTGTCAACAGTGGAGAAAGGACAGAGAGGAACAAACAACCCTCAGCATAACTACAACTGCATGAACCCTCCGAGACCTACAGCAAGGCCAGCCAGTAGGGGACTCACAAACTTGTTTCTAAAGTCAAGGTGACTTTGGTTAAGTGTAGACTCCAACACACTGCAGATTATCTTTGGCAGAGAGTTCCCAACTTAGTGACGGAAGCAAATTAACTATCATAGCCCCTTAACTGGCCTTCCACCACTGGGCAAAGAAAGGACCTTTAAAATTTATCTGACCCAATGTTCTATCTGGTCAGTGGCCTAATATGTCTTTTGAGTCTCTGCACTACCTCCTAGGTCAGTGAATGTGCGAGGGTCATAACAGCTTGAAAGCAGCCACTCAAGATACAAAAGGTCTCTATTTGCCTATACTAATAAAGGAAGGAGACTCAGGAAACAAAGTAACAAATGGACTGCAGGTTTGCTTGTCTCCATAAAATCCTGTCTCCTTCACTATGAGACCAGAAGAAATGGATATTGACTGGCTACCATTATTGAATGTTTTGATCAAGAATTCAAGAAAAGATTCTTGATCAAAAGGAGAAAAAAATGTGGAACAGAACTTTCAATTTTCATGGGCTCAAAAAAAATGGGTTCAAAACTGGGAAAGATGTATGCCAGGGATGTGTCCTATCTCCATACCTTTTCAACCTGTAGGCAGAACAGATTATCTGAGAGGCTGGGCTCTATGAGGAAAAGTGTGGCGTCAGGATTGGTGGAAGATCTATTAACAATCTGTGTTATGCAGATGACACAACCCTGCATGCTGAAACTGAGGAGGACCTGATGCACTTGCTGCAGAGGGTCAAGGACTGCAGCCTTTAGTATGGATTGAGGCTCAGTGTCAAAAAGACAAAGATTCTCACTACTGGACCAACTAACTGGCAGCATCAGGATGGATGGTGAAGAGCCTGAGACTGTTAACAACTTTAGTTTGCTTAGCTCCACGGTCAACACTCTTGGCACCAGCAGCCAGGAAATAAAAAAACATATTGCGATGGGAAAGTCTGCTGTTAGGGACCTCTCCAAAGTACTGAAGAGCAATGGTGTCTCTCTGGAGACTAAGGTGGGTCTGATACAGGCTATGGTCTTTGCAATCACTTGTTATGCATCAGAGAGTTGGACAATGACTAGAGAGGCTAGAAGGAGAATTGATGTCTTTGAGCTGT